CTTTCTTCTGGCTTCATCGATAAATACAACTGAGTATCATCCGCATAACAATGGAAATTTATAGAGTGATTTCTAATGATTTTACCTAAAGGAAGCATATATAGAGTAAATAGGATTGGTCCGAGCACAGAACCTTGCGGAACTCCAAAACAAACTTTGGTACGTAAGGATGATTCATTATGAATGTCAACAAACTGAAAACGATCAGATAAATAAGATTTAAACCAGCTAGAAGTAAAGAAGACAGAAAATTAGTATTTCCTGAATTCTTGCTATCTGGTGTTGTTGTGTAATGAGATCAAATATGTCGGTCATTATGTTGTCAATGATTTATCTGATGACAAAGATATCCACAGACAGTGTGGCAAGCTGTGTGTATAAGCTAATACGCTTACTCGCAAATTCAGCCTGTGTTCAGTTAACATGAAGATCACTCTTTTTAGAGCATTTTGCACTCCTCTGCCCCATAGTGGCGCTCCTTTAGGAAGAGCAACAAAGACTCAATGTGGCCTAAAACGATGGCATGAGACTGCTTCTTAAACTTCCACGATGGTGCAGTGCCAGCCAAATGTTAGTAAATGTTGGTGTGCCTACCTGGCCTGCTTTAATATGAAATCGTACATATCGATATATGTGCAGAAATCTGTCTCACAAAAAAAGCATCATCCAGGCCTCAGCCGACCCTGAGCTGGGCTCAGTCAGGTTTTCATCCAGACCGTGGGGCCACTGGCTCTCAGCTTGTTTGTGGGTGCAGTTTATTGAATTCTGGATTTCTTGTCTCTCATGTGTTCATGTGAAAGAGGCGGTGCTGGTAATGTTGAGCAACATCACCAGAACCATGAATGACGTAGGCTGCAGCATGCCATATGACATGAAACGATACTTAAATGTCTCAGACTGAGGCAGTGAAATGTTATTGGCGTGTAACATAAACGATACTCTGTAATCTTATAACAGAAATATAGAAATATCCGGTCCGAGGCTTCCAGCGAGTGGAGAGGTAGAAACAAACAGCCAATGAGTGTGTGTTATGTTCAGGTGTTGTCACGTAAATAACAGTCCCCAAGCAATAAACAGGACAGACAATAGGATTTTATTTATTTTTACACTACATTTTCACTGAAAGCTGACCGAATCCGACCCGAGCCCGAATACAATTTATACATTTTTGACCGAACCCGGCCCGACCCGTCAGACTCGGATCGGGTAGCCACACTCTAGTGTGTGTATGTGTCCCCTATCTATTGGGGCCTATCTGAATTTCTGTCTTTGAGAGATATTATTTTGTAATATAACTGAATTTTCTATCCATACATATAAACTTTAAATATATTAAAATTATAAGGCATCTTTGAGTAAACTGCGAGTATCATTTAAGTAGGCTATGTCGTGACCTTAAGATGATTAGTATTTTTGTTAGAAAAATTGTATTTTCATATTATGTGTGTGTAGAACCTGATTTTATTGAGAATAGATTCTGTGTTTATTTGCGTGAAGTAACAAATCCTTCAAATCAGAATGAAAATGTTTTTAAAGTTGCTTCAAGTTATTTAAAATCACAGACATGTCGTGCATTTACCAGAAAGAAATGAGACTGATGTCTTCTTGTGCGTATGAATAACTACTGCCTTTTTTTTTTTTACACAGAGATGGCGCTATAGAGCCACTACAAAGTCCCCTCTCTATGCAACCTTTACGTTTTTACACAGAAGCAAACAGTGGTGTCATGTCGCTCCAGTGTGTGATTATAGTCAGCTTGCCGGCATCGTGGAAGCACAAGAGGCGTGACAGGCGTGACAGGCGTGACAGGCGTGACGTGAAACACAGCATTGTCTGCCTCTAGTGTGGCATATGAGATAAGCGTCGTCAGAGCTTTCTTAACAATAACAATGGCATTAACGTGTCAATAATAGTCGTTATATGTTATATGGCGACTGATCTCGTCCTCTGCTCTGAGGGTAAATGAGCCTCATGGTTTTCACATTTTAACCGACATTTTCAGCCACTATGCTTCGTCTTTGAGTTAGCCGCTAACTGCTAACAGCTACTTTTAAAATCAAACCAACCAACACATCCTCAGTCCGACCTCGTCACATATTGACGTTTTGGTCATGGACTTTCCACGTCCACACATGACATGCAAGGTATCCTGGGTGTGTTGGTTGTTGACGTTCTGGGACACTGTGTCAAGTTCTCTTCTTTCAAGCTACACTTCCATTTCCAAAGGAAATTTCATGTTTACATACAGTCTCTCTTGTAATAAATGCACTACGTAAATACAACATCGTGAATTGGCTGTTTTTTTTCCTTCAGCAACATGCACTCATGGTTGGGTTTAGGAAAAGTGAACAGGGTTTGGCTTTAGAATCTTGCGGGACGTGGACACCACTCTCTGGGGTGAAAGTCGGTGTTTGTTGGACCCATCCACCACCACTCCCCATGTGTTTCCCTCTAACGCTGCCGGTCACTGTTAAACTACAACGGCAACCAGCCGCGTACCATGCCGAAGTTAAAGGATGTCTTTTGTCATTGGTTTTTGATGCCGCATGACATTGCCCAAGCGCCGGATTTCAGTGACCTTGGAGTGAGACCATGCTCGAATAACACGTTGTCAAAATGTCATACCAGTGCCAGCCAAGATCCAGTCATTAGCCCATTTTAAGCTGCTTCTTCAAGGTGGGAATTTCATGCCTTGCTTATCTTCGTAAAAGGCACAAACACTGAATGGAGGGTTCAGAGTTGAGAGCTGAGGTGACCTCCGTATAAATGGAAGCCCAGCAGGACAGGTTGTTTCTACACAGGAGGGGACTCTCCCTCCTACAGTGAACACAGAGACACTGAGGGACTAAATGAAAATAACCCGAGCCCAAAGCCAAAGCCAGGGTAAAGAGGCTCAGTGAAGGTGGTGCTGAAGGTGTGGAGGTGGATCAGTGAGTCAGAGGAGACTCTGTAGAAGGACAGAGTGCCAGCAGGACAGTCCACATACACTGCTACTCTGTTAGAGACAGAGGAGGAGGAGGAGGAGGAGGAGAGGACTGTACTCCTCTTTCTGTGCCAGACAGAGTAACCATCAACATCAGAGCAGCTCAGACTCCAGGACTTGTTATTCCCTCCGAACCTGCAGCGAGCACTGCTCCCTCTCCTCCTGATTCCTCTGTAACTCACTGATACATAAACTCTTCCTCTCCACTCCACCTCCCAGTAACAGCGACCAGTCAGACCAGTTTTACACAGCAGCTGAGGCCAGTAGTCAAATCTCTGTGGATGATCAGAATATGGCAGCTCCTCTCTCACTGCTGTCACCGTCCTGTTGTTGTCGGACAGTTTGAGGTTTCTGTTGACTGTGTTTGTGTCCAGTGTGAGTTCACAGGCATCTGATGGAGAGAACAAGACACAAACCAGCAGCAGTTCATCATTTACCTCCTATTATCACTATATGATGATCTAAAACACCCTCCAAGGCATAGCCAAAGTAGTCTGAAAGCTATTCTTGTTCCATTTTTAGTACACGTACATTCATGGTCTCATTGGAATGGTAACACTTGAGTCAGAATCACTGGCTGAATCCAAATCTCCACCCTCTGGACTTGCAGACTGAGCCCTCGCGGACTTCAGGCGTACGTAATGTGACGTCTTCACTGTCATCACATAAAGTCTGCAAGAGCAGGAGTCTGCAGCACTATAAAAGGAGCTAATACACAGGCTTGGAGTCTGTTTCGCTCGTTTCTGTGGAAACATTTAAGAGACTATCATGCATACGGTGATCACTGCAGCAATCGCCTACGTGATCAGATTGCACAGCTTCTATAGGCTAGGCTGCAAAATTTAAAATGCATATTGATTACCTCTATAGCCTATACTTCCACATATTTCTGTATCATGATGTTGTTGAATTTCATATCTGGCCTACATTATTCAAGTAACGTTTTAATATTGCAATTTATAATAAGTTTATGTGGTTTTGTGTGTGTGTGTGTGTGTGTGTGTGTGTGAGTGTGTTTTTCTGTCAGCAGTTTGGAAAAGTTAAAATGTCACGTCCATATTGCAAGGAATTGTGGGTAATTAAACTACTGAAGTATGCTGAAGTCTGCACCCCAAGCGGACTCTCTGGAAGTCTGCAGAAAGTCCGCTTGAGGCCCCTTGTGGACTGAATGAATTGTGGATGTGGACAGCCCTAAGCACTCCCGGACTTCCCGTGAACTCGCCCGCAAAGTTTGTGAGTCTGCAAGTGTGGTGAAGTGCGGACATTTGGATTCAGTCACTCTGAGTGCTTCTGTCACTGAGTTATAGAAGTCTCAACACAATGAAATGAAAGTGTTTTTTTTATTATCTTCGCCTAAATATCTCCTTAAAAAAAGCTGCTGCAGATGACTACAAGAAGGAGGTATTAGCTGGGAAACAAAAGGGGACCGTAGCATGAAGCCTCTCATAGTCCAAATTCAAATTAGATTACAATATCACAGAAGAAAAACATTTTACACGTTTTAAACTTCTGTCCAGGCGCTTTTCAAAACAGAATTAACGACTCACAGTATGAGTTATGACTGACAATTGAGCTGCAAGGACTGGAGCTTTCCAACAGTAGTTTGTTTGAGTAAAGCACTTAAACATTGTGGTTGTTTACACATTATAATCATCAAAGGTCAAATCAAAACCATGTGAGGGCCTGCAGGAAGGCAGGCTGTCGAATTGTTAAGAGATTGTTGCTTCATTAACAGACTGACTATTAGATCAGAACTTCACAATGACTCGTCGTCATGGATCTACTTCATTGAGAAATTTTATGCAGATACACAAGCTGTTGATTTAAACTACTTTAACATGTGCTGCCTTGTTTTCTTGAATCTAAGTGAACACACCCTTACACTTTCTCAGACCAGGTTTCAGCCTCTGCTCTCCACCGTGATCCAACCTGGAGGAGGAAACAAAGTCAGAATGAACCTTCAGAAGCTTCCTCATCATTCATCACCATAAATCTTCACTCAGAGCCTCAAGCCTTTGCCTCTTTATAAAAAGATCTTGCATATCTGCAGCTCACTCAGAATGCTGCTGCAACAGTCTGAACAAAGTCCTGAGCAAAGTCAGTCATCCACCCTACGAGAAATCCTGATCTGGATTTAGATCTGGTACAGAGTGTGAGCCAACAGGTGTCAGCTTGGCCATGTGACAGAGAAACTGTGAGAGCTCTTGTTGTCTGCTCATACCTGAGAGTGTCCAGTCTCCAGTGTGGGTCCTCCAGTCCAGCAGTCAGCAGCTTCACTCCTGAGTCTCCTGGATGATTGTAGCTCAGGTCCAGCTCTCTCAGATGGGAGGGGTTGGATCTCAGAGCTGAGGCCAGAGAGGTACAGCCTTCCTCTGTGATCAGACAGCCTGACAGCCTGGAGACAGATGGACAGACACAGAGTTTACACATAAGTACATGTCTTTTTGTGTTCTAATGGGTGTCCTTTTCCTTGATAATCAGACTTCCTCATCATCCTGTGTTAATGACAACAGAATCAGTTATAAATCAGTTATCCTACACTTGCATATGATGTCATAAATTGGTGCCCTGTCCAGATGGAGGGCAAGCAACTGGAGGCAAAGACTACCAACATTGCACAGGTGCCTAGGATTTGTGTTGTTTACCGCTATTCCAATTGATCAAATTGGAACAAACAGCCACTTTAAGTCTCAAAAATAGTGGGACGTAAAGGGGAGAAGAAAAAATGACTAAGAAACAGCAGCAGATGTGGATCAAAAACTTCCATCTTCAGTCAACTAATTTCAAACATTCAAGCTTAAGTGTTGTGTTAAATATGCCCCTAGTTGGGATAACAACGTGCTGTGACAACTTCCCCGTGTTTTTAGCCATGAGCCGGTGTTTCACCAAACCTCTAGGAACAGTAAACCTTAAAGATAGAAATATCTAAAGTTAGCTAACATTACCTAGTAACATTAGTCTGACAGGTGGTGCGTTCATGCATAGAGTTGAAATATAAAAGACAGTTATACTTAAGCTGCTCACTCACAAACCAAACACAGGGCGGCAGTAGTTTCAGTTGTCGACCCAGTGGCACACAAAACTATTGTCGTCCACTAGACTCCCATAGGCTTTCAGCAGCTAACTTAGGAACATTAGTGATGTTATGGGGTCCGGAGGACGAGGTAATTCGTAATGACAATCGTTTCCACACCGAGTAAATTGGCCAAGTTGTGGCCTTTTGTATGTAACACGACCAACATGAGGTTCAATTTTCTGTCGTTATCTGCTGCCCACAGATTTATCCAAAACAATGTATGTAGTCACTTTCCTCTATATCCAATTCATGCAGTATATAAACGTATCACTTCCTGCCCTCCATCCGAATTTTTTACATTAAAATAGTCAAGTGATTGCAAACAAAATACTGTTGGATATCATCAGTGACATTAATTTGTATGGCCAATACCATTTAAATGACCATCTGTTAAACAGGTGGTGAAACCTGACCTGAGAGTTTCCAGTGTACAGTTTTGACTCTCCAGTCCAGCAGAGAGCAGCTTCACTCCTGAATCCTGCAGGTCATTGTTATTCAGGCCCAGGTGTCTCAGACTAGAGGACTGGGAGCTGAGAACCAAGGAGAACTCCTGACAGCATTTCTTTGTGAGCCTAGTTTGACTCAACCTAAAATGAAAAATAAGAAACATATTTTCTGATTTTTCAATTTAGTTTCTCAGAACTGTCTGTGGCGGAGCCGGGACACTTTAAATTTTGGCATTGACAATAACATTTGATTTTGAGAAAAAAACTGAATTGATAAAGGAAACACTGACATTGAAACTCATATACTGACACTAAATAATAAAACATGCACATTAAAAACATTTCATTTTAGTTTGATATTTTTGCATGCTGATGTGTTTTTTGATGACAAGTTTCAGATTTTTTTTCTTTAGGACACTTGTGACACATCTACCACTGTTTTGCAGTGGAGAAAAGGAGTTTAAAAAACAGGTTTATTGACAAGTAGATTTTCGTACACAAGCAATTTACCTTGCTGATTATGGTGGTCATGAAAAATAAAGTTCTCATTCAGTCATAGGCATGCAGTGCGAAACTAGACCATAAAACATTTTTTGAGGCACAATATGGTGTTACACACATGCATCAGAGTGAGTTCTGACCTGAGAGTTTCCAGTGTACAGTGTGGACTTTCAAGTCCAGCAGAGAGCAGCTTCACTCCTGATTCGTGCAGGTTGTTGTTACTCAGGTCCAGCTCTCTGAGACGAGAGGACTGAGAGCTGAGAACTGGGAACAGAGCACCACAGCTTCTCTCTGACAGATTACAGCCACTCAGCCTAAAGGAGAGTCAGAGATAAATAAATACTGATACTGTTTCTATTCTCTATAATGTACTAAAAGCTTCTCAGTTTTAGAATTTCCTTATTTCTATTGATGACTTACTAATTGGTTATGAAGGATCTGGCTCTTAGTTCCAGTTTTCTCAAATTAAAGGCCTGGGATCTAAGAACTGAAGTTGAGTCCTGACATTGTATATCTGTTGATCTCTAGCAGACAACTATTGATTTTGTAGGCTGAAGTGTGTGACTTTGGTTTGCATATTTTATCAACTCTAGCTAGCTAGGATAAGACAATGCTAATACTAAATCTCTGTGAACTAGTTGTAAACTACCGTTAAACTTCAATTAATATCCCAGGCACTTATTTGCTTAAACCACTGAAACCAATGGACCTATATTTGAAACAGGCATCTATTTGGAACTGGCCTTTATTTTCTCTCACATGTTGCTCAGCAAAGATAAGGAGATACAATCAAATTGTTTATATAAACCAGTATGAATATTGCTTGTTCAGATTTAGGCTGAATCATTCATCTGATCTAGCTTCGTCAGACAGCACATCAGAGAGAGATAGTCACGGCTTTCAAGGATTATGGCACCCGGGATACCGACACAACACCACTTTATCCTGTTTAAACAATACTTACAATTTAGATTAATTTTCACAAAAAAAACAACTTTTGTTTCTTTTGATCTGAGGACCCTTACAGACTACAGAAATATGAATAACTTACAGGGTAATTGAGGAATGAGATACATAATTTGAGGTAGCCAACACCTCGCTTTTGTACATCCAAAGACTTCTATAAAAAATGAATTGCTTAGCAACTAGACAAGGCGTCTAACTGCAACAGGAGTGTCAGAATGTATAGCCACGCCAGGCTAGTAAAAGAGACTGGGTTTATAATGGAAGTTTTACGGTACATCTCCAGGTGACTTTTTAAATGTAAAAGAGTATAATCTAACCTGAGAGTCTCCAGCACACAGTGTGGACTTTCCATTTTAGCATAGAGCAGCTTCACTCCTGAATCCTGCAGGTTGTTGTTACTCAGGTCCAGCTCTCTGAAAAGAGAGGACTGGGAGCAGAGAACTGAGGACAGCTCCTGACAGCATTTCTCTGTGAGCCTGGAGTGACTCAAGCTGAAATAGAAATAAAGAATATTTCCTCTATTTTGCTTGAGCATCCCAGATATGTTCAGTGTGAATGTATGGTTACATTGTACCTTGATTGTCTGAGTGGATAGACTATCTCTATTCCATATGTACAGAGAATGATCTCCCTGCTGTCAGGGTATGTGGATACTTCTAAAAGACACATGGGCTTGCCCAGCCACATCCTAGGGTTAACCTATAAATCACCTGTGCTGGCACGTAATCACTAATAGTTTTATCAAATCTGTCTCCAAGTGGCCTTAAAGCTGCAGAGAACCAAGGTTACAATGTAACCACACATTCTCAATTGTATCAAGACTATCTCTCCACTCCATCACATATTCCATTTCCATTGTATGGTGAACTCTTTGAGTGAGGAGACAATGCTACTCATAAGCCCAATCAGTGACACAGTGGTAACACGTAAACTATTTACCTCAAGGCCCTGCAAACAGCAAAGGCAAAGCTTGAGATGCAGAGGGGCGGCTGAGGCTAGTCAGCAAGACACAAGACTGACTCAAGGAAACAAATTAAATGCCCTGCAAGAGGCAAGGCCAAACTGAAATGAATTGGCCATGGTCAGCCCACAAACAGCTGAGCTCACCAAGGGAGACACAAACAGGTGACAAATTAGCATAGCCCACAAGGCCTAGTCACTGTTTAGTCACATCCATCTTTTACTCACTGAAGAAGGGGCTGGCTGCTAAGTTCAGACTGTAAAACCTGGAGAATATGGACTGAGATGCCCATGTGGCTGCTGTACATATAGTAGTGAGAGAGGCTCCCTGCCACAAGGCTCATAAGGGATCAGCCCCAAGGGCTGAGTGTGCCCAAAGTCCGGTTGAGACCGGCACACCCAAAAACACATATACAGTCAGGTCCATAATTATTTGGACAATGATACAGTTGTCATCATTTTGGCTCTGTACACCACCACAATGGGTTTTAAATGAAACAATGAATACCTGCTTAAAGTGCAGACTCTCAGCTTTCATTTAAGGCTTTTTTCAAAAATGTAGTATGAACCGTGTAGGAATGACAACCATTTCTTCACACAGTCCCCCGACTTTAAGGGCTCATAAGTATTTGGACAAACTAACATAATCATCAATTAAACAGTCAGTTTTAATACTTGGTTGCAAATCCTTTACAGTCAATGACTGCCTGAAGTGTTGGACACATAGGCATCATCAGATGCTGGGTTTCTTCCCTGGTGATGCTCTGCCAGCCCTTTACTGCAGCCGTCTGCACTTCCTGCTTGTGTTTTGGGTGTTTTGCCCTCAGTTTTGGCTTCAGCAAGAGAAACGCATGCTCAGTTGGATTCAGGTCAGATGATATGACTTGGCCATTGCAGAACATTCCACTTCTTTGCCTTAAAAATGTCTTTGGTTGCTTTTGCAGTATGCTTCAGGTCAATGTCCATCTGCACTGTGAAGCATCGTCCAATGAGTTTTGAAGCATTTGGTTGAATCTGAGCAGATAATGGTGCCCCAAACACTTCAGCTTTCATCCTGCTGCTCTTGTCAGCAGTCACATCATCAATAAATACAAGAGAACCAGTTCCACTGGCAGCCATACATGGCCATGACATAACAGTACCTCCACCATGCTTCACTGATGAGGTGGTGTGCTTTGGATCATGAGCAGTTCCTTCCCTTCTTCCTTCTCTTGTCTTCCCATCATTCTGGTAGTTGATCTTTGTTTTATCTGTCCATAGTATGCTGTTCCACAACTGTACAGGCTTTTTAGATGGTTTTTGACAAACTCTAATCTGGCCTTCCATTTTTAAGGCTAACCAATGGTTTGCATCTTGTGATAAACCCTCTGTATTTATTCTAGTGAAGTCTTGTCTTGCTTACAAGAGCAGCAGGATGAAAGCTGAAGTGTTTGGGGCACCATTATCTGCTCAGATTCAACCAAATGCTTCAAAACTCATTGGACGATGCTTCACAGTGCAGATGGACATTGACCTGAAGCATACTGCAAAAGCAACCAAAGACATTTTTAAGGCAAAGAAGTGGAATGTTCTGCAATGGCCAAGTCATATCATCTGACCTGAATCCAACTGAGCATGCGTTTCTCTTGCTGAAGCCAAAACTGAGGGCAAAACACCCAAAACACAAGCAGGAAGTGCAGACGGCTGCAGTAAAGGGCTGGCAGAGCATCACCAGGGAAGAAACCCAGCATCTGATGATGCCTATGTGTCCAACACTTCAGGCAGTCATTGACTGTAAAGGATTTGCAACCAAGTATTAAAACTGACTGTTTAATTGATGATTATGTTAGTTTGTCCAAATACTTATGAGCCCTTAAAGTCGGGGGACTGTGTGAAGAAATGGTTGTAATTCCTACACGGTTCATACTACATTTTTGAAAAAAGCCTTAAATGAAAGCTGAGAGTCTGCACTTTAAGCAGGTATTCATTGTTTCATTTAAAACCCATTGTGGTGGTGTACAGAGCCAAAATGATGACAACTGTATCATTGTCCAAATAATTATGGACCTGACTGTACCTGCTGAATTGTGTCAACAACCCAGTGGAACAGCCCAGGCTTCAACAAGGGTCTACCCAAATGACTGAGTTTGAAGTAAACAAACAGCTGATCAGTCTTCCCTGATGTACTCTGTCTGCCGAGGCTCTGACATAGCATAGCATGGACAGGAGCTGCACAACCTCCTGTCCTCCTTCAGAAGGGGAAAGTGCCCATAGCTCAAGTGGCTGAGCCAGGTGGAACTCGGATGGAACCTTGAACAGGAACGCTGTACTGGGGCAAAAGATTACACCCGACTCATCCTGCAAGACCCTGCAGCATACACTGTGAACTGGCAGTGCACGGAGTTCACCTAGCCTTCTGGCAGAGGTAATGGCCAACAGGAATGCTGTTTTGAGAGAGACCCATTTCAGTTCAGCAACCCTAAGGGGCTCAAAGGGGGGGGGCGCTGAAGTGATCCGAGGCCTACATCCAAATCCCATGGAAAGGAAAAAGGTCTAGTCCTTTGAACTGTCAGCCTATGGGCACCTATGAGAAACCAGGAAATCAGGGAACAGTCATCTTTGCTTAGTGTGAATGTGCCCATACGAACTGCCTTGACGGCTGCCATTATCCCTGCCATTATCCCTGCCAGGTTAGGGCAGACTTCCCTGCCTGAGTAGGCGTCCACCTGCTGAACCTAGCACCGTGTAGAGCCGTCTCCCAGCGGTACAAATAGGGATGGGTATCATTAAGATTTTAATGATACTCCTTATTGATTTGGTACTTTATCGGTACTCTTATAGGTTCTTTTTTTATTTCTAAATAACTGCTTTTCAGAAAATATATTGATTTAAAAAGAATAAATCCAGAACAGGATTATTGAATATTTGAAATAAAACAAATTGTTGTTTCTGAAACGGTAATTTTTACAACAGAAAAGTCACTATATAAACATTATTCCAGACATCACAATACTGAGTGAAGTTTAGTATTCATCAGTCAGTCCTCCTGTCCTCTGTCCTCTGTCCTCCTGTCCTGCTCCCTCTCTGCTGATGTGATTCACTGTGTGCAGGTAACATTAGTGCTGGTAGAGAGAGTTGGGGCTGTTTGTCTCAGCCAGCAGCTTAGTTTAAAAGTGTCAAACTAAGTTAGTCTACATGCAGACAGCTGTCATTTAAGCTTATTAGTAACAATTCACTATTAGCCGAACTAGCGTGCTGTCTAAATCAGCGTGTAAGACATAACTTTAGTGTCGGTGGATGAGAGACTGTGGAAGGAGCATATTGAATATTGCTGTCTACATGTTCATCATGCTGAACACATGTATTGATACATTATTGGCATCTTACTAGCTAAGGTTGAATTGCACTTAACAGTAACGAGAGTAGCTGCCGTCAAATCAGGTGATTTTAGAGTTATCTTAACTTCGTTTCCACCGGGGCCGCTCAGCTGTTCACCAGTTACCGTGTCGTGTAGGCGTGTGTGTGTATGTGGTGGAGATCAGTGCTGGCACAGTGCGCAGATGAGAGGCTGCAGGATGATAATGAATTATACCAAAATGTGTAAAAGTACTGATAAAGGAATCAATACCATCAGAGCTCATCAAAACTATGGTCTTTGATAATTTAGCCCCGGGGCTAATTTAGTACTGGGTTTCAGTACACATCCCTAGGTACAAAATGGCAACTCTAGCGGATGGGGCCCGGGCCTCTTGTATAGTCCTCACTACAGGCTTTGACAAGCCCAAAGCTAGGAGGCCGCCCCTTTCAGGGGCCAGACCACCAATCTGAGCCCTGCTGGTGGAACAGGGTCCTGCTCGCCTGCTACAGCAGGTTTTGCTGAAGTGGGGGCTGGAGCGGAGTGAAAGGAGGAAAGGCGTAAAGCAGACCTTGAGGCCATGGGTGTGCCAGAGCATCCCATTCCAGAGGTGGATAGTTGTCCCTCAGGAAAGGGCTACCTGAAACTTCTTGTGCCCTTGGTATAGGGCCATAATGGCTCCAGGTTTAGCCAAACAGGTTTGTGAAGCCATAGCCTTCAGACCATCCATTACTCAGCAGTTCCTGCCAGGGCAGGTGGCTTTGCCAGGCATAGAGTTGGAGGGAGAGACCAGCAGAGAAAGGGCTTGATCCATTAAACAACATTGTTAGATGACTGGGTGTTTTGTAGGTTAGCCCCAGGCGTGACTGGACAAGCAGGTGTGTCTTAAAGAAGTATCTGCGTACCCTGACAGCAGGGGGATCATCCCTGTACATATGGAATATATAATGGAGTGGGGAGAAAGCCTTGATACGATAGAGAAAAGGGTTCAGTGTATATATCGAGTGGATTGTTATTGATGGAAAGTGCGAACATATTGTCATCAAAGTATAAACCAAAGGAATATTTGTCTCTTTCATATAGTTTGTTAGCAATAATTCAAGAATGTTTCACTAATGGGTAAACAGTGTCATGTGTTATGATGAAAACTTATGACAGCCCGCTCCGCTTAGAATTTTCTGTCTGAAATATGCTGGACACAAGATGTGTACTACTTCACTTAAAAGTCCACTCTCAGTGTGTGTGCCCTGAAGGCATCAAGCTTACACATTCATGTGCTCACCCAGAAATCTCTCCAATTTACACAGGTGCAATACAATGTTGCACAAAAGTATCACAATTTGATCTGACCTGAGAGTCTCCAGTGTACAGTGTGGATTCTCCAGTCCAGCAGAGAGCAGCTTCACTCCTGAATCCTTCAGTTTGTTGTTACTCAGGTCCATCTCTCTCAGACTGGAGGACTGGGAGCTGAGAACTGAGGACAGAGCTCCACAGCTTCTCTCTGACAGATTACAACCACTCAGTCTGAAAAAGAGTCAGATCACAAAATTAATACATTTTAGGCTTAAATGAACTACACTGTAATTTTCATTCATTCATCTGTGGAGGACCAATCATACAGAAGATAAAAGGACATTAAAATTGATCAACTTATCAATTTGTTGACTTAATCTTGTTACTTGAAATTGACTGAGACATTCATCGTTGAGTACAACCCATCACATGTGACAGAGTTAGTATCTGCAGTTATCTCCACACTTACAGAGCTTTGTTGGAAGCTTTGACCACTGGCAGCAGCCTCAGAAGAGCCTCTTCTGAAGCAAAGTATTTCTTCAGGTCAAACACGTCCAGGTCGTTTTCTGATGACAGTAAGATGAAGACGAGAGCTGACCACTGAGCAGGAGACAGTTTATCTGTGGACAGACTTCCTGAACTCAGGTACTGTTGGATCTCCTCCACTAGAGAACGATCATTCAGCTCGTTCAGACAGTGGAACAGGTTGATGCTTTGCTCTGGAGACAGATTCTCACTGATCCGACTTTTGATGTACTCGACTGTATCCTGATTGGTCTCTGAGCTTCTTTTCTTTTTCAGCAGGTCTCGTAGGTGTTTCTGATTGGTCTGCAGTGAAAGACCCAGGAGGAATCGGAGGAACAAGTCGAGGTGTCCATTTGGACTCTGTAAGGCCTTGTCAATAGCAAACATGTGGACCTCTGTCATAGATGTTTTGCTGAAAACCTTTCGCACTTGTTCGCCACTTGTTTGCCCTGGTTCAGACATCACATTCTTGTTTCTGTTAACGAGTTCCCTCTCTACATATAAAGCTGCCAGAAACTCCTGAACACTCAAATGGACAAAGCTGAACATCCTGTCTTCATCTTTCTTCCTCCCACGTTCCTCTTTGAAGATCTCTGTGAACACTCCTGAGCACACCGAGGCTCCACTGACATCAATGCCACTCTCTTTGAGATCTCTCTCGTAGAAGATCAGGTTGCCCTTTTCCAGTTGGTGAAAAGCCAGTTTTGCTAATGATTTAACGTAGTGAAGGCACTGTTTTTGGTTGTACTTCTCTTTTGTCTGATGGATCTGAAACTTCAAAAATTCTGCGTACATCTCAGTCAGGGTCTTGGGCAGCTCTCCTTCCTCTCTGGTCTTCATGACATCCTCCAAAACTGTAGCAGTGATCCAGCAGAAGACTGGGATGTGGCACATGATGTGGAGGCTTCGTGATTTCTTGATGTGGGAGACGATTCTGCTGGCCTGCTCCTCATCTCTGAATCTCTTTCCGAAGTACTCCTCTTTCTGCTGGTCAGTGAATCCTCTAACCTCTGTCATGATGTCCACAAAATCAGAATGGATCTGATTGGCTGCTGCAGGTCGTGTGGTTATCCAGAGGCGAGCAGAGGGAAGCAGATTCTTCTTGATGAGGTTTGTTACCAGCACATCCACCGGGATCGACTCTGTCACATCAAAGTCCGCCTCCTGGTTTTCATTATTAGAACAGTCCAGTTGAAGGCGGCTCTCATCCAGTCCATCCAACACAAAGAGAAGTTTGAACCTGCTCTTGTCAAAGTTGGTGTTTCCTGATGACTGCAGAGTTGCAAAGATGTAATTAAGAGCTTCTCTCGTGATGTCTTTGGTCTCCCTGATACATTCATGAATGAGCTCTGCCAAACACAACTTCTCTCTTTTCCATAAATTCAGCTGGCGGAAGGTGAAGGGGAAAACAAGATGCACATCTTGATTGGTTCTTTTTTCAGTCCAGTCCAACACAAACTTGCGCACAAGAAATGTTTTTCCAATTCCTGCGATTCCATTGGTCAGCACTGTTCTAATGGGTTTATATCTTCCAGAGGGGGGTTTGAACATATCACTAGGTTTGATTGTTTTCTCTGTATCTGTTGGCTTCCTCTTTGCCTCAATCTGTGTGGCCTCATGCTGTGTGTTGATGTGTACGTCACCTCCAGCTGTGATGTACAGCTCTGTGTAGATATCATCCAGACGCTGCTCATCCTTCTTCTGTGCCCACCCCTCTTGTGCACACATGAACTTATCTTGGAAGTGTGACTGAAGTAGGTGTTGGTAATATGAGATGTGCCGTGGCTCTGGTACTGGAACAATCACATCTGTATGACATCAGCCAAAATACAATTATTTGAATATCTAAAGGCAATTGAATCAAACTCAACTGGACTTAGTTTTGTCTTAGAAGACGTTTCACCTCTTATCCAAGAGGCTTCATCAGTTCATGCTTGTCTGACTAGGCTGGAACTAGTCTGACAAACTGGTGTGGAAAAACCCAGGTATTTATCCTCTGGGGAGGTCTTCACAAGGCCAATGATGTCACTGGTTCATTAGTGCTCCAACGGTGTGTCAACGACGGTTGTTAGAGTCACATGAGGTCATTTGTGAATGACCATTGTTTTTAAAGGTTAAGCTGTTAAATCTCCTGGGCAAGGATAAAAGGACAGCATCATCATCCTTGCCTGTCGTTGACACACCGTTGGAGCACTAATGAACCAGTGACATCATTGGCCTTGTGAAGACCTCCCCAGAGGATAAATACCTGGGTTTTTCCACACCAGTTTGTCAGACTACTTCCAGCCTAGTCAGACAAGCATGAACTGATGAAGCCTCTTGGATAAGAGGTGAAACGTCTTTTAAGACAAAACTAAGTCCAGTTGCGTTTGATTCAGTTACCTTGAGATAACTATGACCTGGATAAATGAGAATATCCACAGGCAATTATTTGAATATAACATGTCTTTATTTCCTCATAAAATCAAAGACGTTTGTATAAAACTTTGGGATAATTAGTGTATGAATTGATGCGTTATGGTTGGCCATAACGCCATAACGACCTTACAAGACATCAATCATGTCTTGTAAGGTCACATTGACTTTGACCACCAAATTCTAATCATTTTGTTCTTAAGCCCAAGTAGACGTTTGTACAAAATTTTTAAAAAACATTCTTCAAGGTGTTCTTGAGATATTGTGTTGAGAATGTGACAGACAGGGTCACAGTGACCTTGACCTTTTACCACCACATTCTAATCAATTCATTCATAACCCAAAGTGGACATTTGTACCAACTTTAAAGGAATTACCTTAAGGTGTTCTTGAGATATTGTGTTCATGAGAATGAAACAGATGCAAGGTAAAAACACAAGTGTTTTGTCTGTGGGTTATAATGGAGCTGATTTGTGTATTTGTGTTTAAAAATTAACCCTTCGCTAGGCCCCGGTCAAGCTGTCGGAGCTAGCATGGAGCCCACACTGTCACTAACTGCTCTCCCTGAAGAAATATTTTTAGAAAAATAAAAAAGCTACTCCTGAGAGAAGCAGACAGAGGGGTCTGCAGTCTGTTTGAAGGATATATCCAGGATGTCAAACTGACTCAGCAGCAACAACAGGTTAAAAAGACAAAGATAGTTAGAAGCTGAAGCCAAACTATAGGCTACAGATCACAGTGTAAAAGTGAACCACCACATCACTGCTGAGTGAGAACTGTCCCTTCACCAGTGAGGGAAAACTGCTGCCAGCCGCCAGACATCTGCCACTGGACTTCCACTGGCGGACGGACAGGGAGACCTGGGGGAAGTCCAACAAGCTGGTTGAATATCAGCAAAGTTTTCCCTGCTTCCCTTCACTGGTTCCTGTACAGGTCTTTATTCACTGTTACAATCATTTAAAAGCAAAAGCAGCATGTGTATACATTCAGAGGGCTTTACCTTCAGTAGCTACATAACCCTACACTTTTTGGGTTTGACTTTGGTTTTGGAACAGGGAAGAAACATATATCTTCTTCCAATGGAACACAGCCGATGCCACGCCATGATTGGCCAGTCTGGGTTCCAGGGGCGGAACTTAGCGAAGGGTCACTTGTTGCTATAAGGCCATGTTTAATGTGTGTTAGAGGTTTTGAATCAATCGAACTTAACAGCACTTCAAAGAAACTCCACCGCCAACTAGTGTCTTAGAGGTGTAACTGCAGAGCAAAACAGACACACCAACGCACAAGTCTAAGTGCTCACACTGGCGTAGGTTCTGCTTAGGCTACGGTGTAGGATCTGCGTAGAGCCAAAGCACAAATATAAATCTGCCTTAAGACGTGTGGACGCTCTGATGATGCTTTGACTAAATTTCAGTGAGTTCTCCTGTCTTTGCTTTCCCACAGTTACAATAAAGTCATGATGTCTCACACAAAAAGTAAAACTTACACTTTATACATACCAGAGAATACAGCAGCTTTACCTTCGCTCTGAGAGGAGGAAATTCTTCTGTTCTCTGAAGTCTCTCCAATGTCACCGACATCCACTGACACTGTGTGGGACAGGTTGTGTTATTTTTTAATTGGACTTACTACCCTTATTTATCATTAACTTAATTAGTGCTTGTTAACTAACTTTCATTTTTAGCTTTTTTTAAAAATGTGTTTGTGATTGCAGCAGCATAGAGGGCGGTGATCTATGCATTATGTGGCTGCATTTAATTGGCCACAGCTGGTGACTGATCGTTGGGGCGGCAGTATATGGTGCAGCGGTCCTCCGCTGTCTTCATTTGTGCTCCCCCACCACATCACTTCCGGTCCAGAGGTGTGTCGTCCTAACAGGTATTGCCACTCTCTGCTGCTTCACTTCACAGTCTGTTTTCCCATGAAAAGCAATGCACCAAAATTCGTACATATCCCACTACGTAATCATGAGCCAGTAATTCGAGCATAACCCACATATTTTAGAAGGCTGCGAAAACGTGACCAATGCACTGACGCGAGGAAAAAAGGACGTGGTTGCAAATGGTCCAGTAAGGGGATAGGCTTGAGTGGTGGATGGATCGCGAACACTTTCCCAGAGACCTTCCACTGGAGACCAGTGTTTGGAACCATGTGAACTTTGAGTCATTTTTAAAGGACGTCCTCACCATGTTTCCTCTCCCTAAGCTGAACCTCAGTAGCTTTATTTGCCTAAACCTAAACTCCATGTCGTTGATTAAGATGTAACGTCATTCATGGGTGCTAATTTGTCTGATATCATATGAATTGTGTGAGGATACATTGCTTGCATTAATATCTCAGTGTCTCAAACTGAGGAGTAAATAAAAGAATAAACCAGGCGGTGTCATCACACCTCTGATGATTGACAACCTGAACATTTTCTCATAATTATGAGATCAGGCCTCCAATTGTTCTTCTTTGGTGAATACAATGAGCGTCTGTACAAAGAGCCTGTTCCTCTACAAGTATTGTGTTGCTCATGTCAACTCACTGTTTTTGCCTGAAAATACAAAATAAAAAGGTGTGACTGACCTCGTGGTCCTGAGCTGGTGTCTGACAGACTCTGCACCAGATCATTCCTGTTGATCTTCTCTAAGACCTTCTTGGTCACCTTCAGAGCTCCATCAGGTTTATAGGTGTTCACCATCACATTCACTGTGTCCAGCCTTTTTGCTTCCTCCAGTTTGGACACTTTGATGGCTTGGTAGCCTCCCAGGATGTCAGGCTGCTGCAGGTACCATTTGAAGGTCTTAAAGTCATCGTCTTTCAGATCCTCCAGAGTGTTCAAAAGGTCCTCTGTCATCATCGTGGCCTCCTGCTAAAATCAAGCAATCATTTGTTTGTAGAATCTGGACAGTTACAGCCACACATTCAAAGAGCTGAAGTCTGCCACATTATCCATTAGCTTTGGTTCCACTGACCACTTTTTAACACCACACTTAATATAACGCCATGCACATCACTCACATCAGGCTGTTCTCATGCACTGTTTGTGTGTTTTCCTATGAAAAATAATGCATACTTACCCTATGAAATCATGAGCCAATAATCTTTGCATACGGTAAGCCATATATTTTGGAGGGCTGCAATCATGTAACCAGTGCTCTGAAGGGGGTAAACAAGAGAGTGGTCCCGAGTGGCCCAGACTGGGGTGGGTTTTATTTTGTAGTTTTGGTCTGTGTTGTCTGTCTGTAACTTACGTTGCTTCCTGTTTTGATCAGGACCCTCTTGAAAAAGAGATTTTTAATCTTGAGAGGTTTTCTTTTTTAGATTTTCTGGTTAAATAAAGGTTTAATAAATTAAGAAAAAATACAGAACTTATCCCTGGAGACTGCTGTTTAGAACTGTGTGAATCATTTTAAGGTACGTCCTCGCCATGTTTCTTTTCCATAACCTCACCTTTGTAACTTTACGTTAATTATAGTTCCTAATTATAACTTTATGTTAAGGACACAACATCATTCATGGGGCACTAATTCATAGGATATCATACAAAGTGTACCCATCATACAAGCGTCCATGATCAGAACTGCATTACTGTATTAACTACATAATGAGCTGAAGCATAAAATGAAAATCACAAAACTCTTACCTGAAAGTTTGGAGAACATTAGAACGTGTCGACAACATCAGAGTCAGGTCACTCTGCAGTCTGGCTGCTGTGTTTGAGTCAATAAGTTTACCAGAAGTGGAGAATGAGGAAATGCACATGTGTGAACATAGAAGTGAAATCCCAACTTCATCTTATTCAGGTTCCTCTTTGTTGTGTGAGTTCCTGTAAAATTTTACATTACACAACTGCATGATGCTGTGTTTGTGTGTTTAGTTGACTCTCGTTGTCCTTTAACCTTTCCAAGATAGAAAAATTGTGGGTTTGGCTCATGGAGATTCAAGACTCATGATGAACGCGTGCAGACACTGAGCCAACGCTGGCCCGAGTGCTGCAAACTGCAGCTGGTTCTAAGGGTGCTTTCACACCTGTAGTTCAGTTCATTTGGCCTGGACTAAGGGGAAAATAATTGATATATTATTGTATTACAATAATGAGGTCGGGCGGCACGGTGGTGTGGTGGTTAGCACTCTCGCCTCACAGCAAGAGGGTTGCCGGTTCGATCCCGGGCGTGGGAGCCCTTCTGTGTGTAGTTTGCATGTTCTCCCCGTGTCAGCGTGGGTTCTCTCCGGGCACTCCGGCTTCCTCCCACAGTCCAAAGACATGCAGGTTAATTGGTGACTCTAAATTGTCCGTAGGTGTGAATGTGAGTGTGAATGGTTGTCTGTCTCTATGTGTCAGTCCTGCGATAGTCTGGCGACCTGTCCAGGGTGAACCCTGCCTCTCACCCAGTGTCAGCTGGGATAGGCTCCACCCCCCTGCGACCCTCAAGAGGATGAAGCAGTTAGAAGATGAATGAATGAATGAATGAATGAATGAATGAATAATGAGGTCACGTGAGGTTCTACAGACTGACAGGTAAGTTGTTGACTGGATTGTTTTGGCGACTGCCATGTTGCATCACCACGACCCATGTGGGGAACTCACATTCTGGTGACTGACAGAGGTTCATGCAACACTTGAATGCTTCTGATGTTTATATTAATGTTCTTCGTCACAATGCGCTCACAATGCGCTCACAATGCGCTCACGAAGAAGTAGCTGATTATGAGCATTTATAGTTTTATTTGACTGCAAACTGACTGCATGTTATGAATAATGAACAAGAGGAAGAGACAGTAACTATTCAGAGCTTCTTACTGTGGGATCCCTGATACACCTTTTGAATGGACTTCATCAGCTACTTTGAAACTGTAATACATAACAGATTACTTGTTACCTTCACTGAAAGTAATAAGTTAGTTTACAGTATTACTCTTTGTGTAGAAGAATACGTTACTGATTACCAGAGTTGGGTATAACTCTGACTTTGATTACTTTTTGCAGTAACGAGTAACCTAACGTGTTAGTTTGCTGTTTGAGTAATCAAACACTTGAGTACATTTTCAAACAAGACATCAGTTACTTCCGTTACTTTTAGAACGCTGGTCCTTCAGCTCCGAAACAGCAACGGCTGTCGTTTGGTTCTAATAACGGAGATAACGTTAAACCTATCAGTCTGAAAGAAGCCACGGAGCTTGTGGCTCGCTACGTGGCCGGAGAAATGCTGCCGTTGTCTACGGTGGAGTCTAAATAGGTGGAGAAGGACTCGCTGACAGACATATTTCAGACTCAGGACTTGCATTATACCTGGTACACGCTACACGCTGGTACTCACCAATTATCCCCGGTCGTCTTTCACGGCGTGTGTGATGTCATCGGGTTATTCTTGTCTTATTTTTATCACTTTTACTATTATTTGAGTCACTGTGTGTGTTCATGTGCCAGCCGACATGTTGTTGTAGTCACCTAAAAGCGTCAGCAGATGGCAGGAGCTACATTTGAAGCGCCATATGTAAACTGTCAAGCTACTGTATCTTCCACAGGAAGTTCTGACAAATGTTTCAGAATAAAAGCCTATTTAGAAAATGGAGGGATTCTCTCAGCTGAGGTTATAAGGAGCTTTTAATTTGAAACAAGTATTGAATTTGAAATGACGGTGCGATATGTTAACTTTACAAAGACAATGGAGCGGATAAAAAGTAAATATATAAACACACAGAGAGATTAATAAATAACGGACCATCTATAATGTAGTCTGTTTCAAATGAAGCTGGGAGCCTCTGCAGTTGTGGTGAGTAAAAGCCCCGCCGCTATTTGTTAATGTTATTACTTTATGTCCAACCGTGATGATGTACCATTGTTTGCTAGCTTGATGCTAATGACAGTAACGTTAACTCAGCAGGTTGACAAAGTGCCTCTGCTGTTTCACACCATCATTTCCCCCTTTTACTCTGTGTGGTAACATCCCTAGAGGAAATATTAAAAACGCTGGGGTGTTGTTGTCATACAGTTGTCTACGGCAGCAGATCGTTGTGTGTTTCTACTGGTCAAAGTGACGGCTGTGATGGGAGAACTGGATCTCAGTGAAGGGCAAGTGGTCCATAACTTTAATTTTGGAGACAAAAAAATGTAGGCTTAGTGCCCTGTGGTCCATTGGCCAATAGGAAATGTAGAATACTCAAAAGTACTTTAAAAGTGCTTGAGTTACTTTTCTCAGGGAGTAACGTTGGAAGTACTTTTAAAGTAATTGAGTTACTTTACTCAGGGAGTAACGCAGTAAAGTAACTGGTTACTTTTTTAAAAAGTAACGCAGTAACGTACTTTGATTACTTTTAAAGTAACTCTTACCCAACACTGCTGATTACCAGGCCCATATAGAATCTGCAGATTTTTTAAGTTTTAGTTTTCAGAGGTGATCCAAAATGAAAATCTGTTGAATTCTGCACGTGCATGTTTTTTTGTTTGTTTGTTTGTTTGTTTGTTTGGTGTTTTTTTGCTAGTAATGTGATAGACAATTAGCCTGGAAATCCAGACCCAAATCTAGAAAGATTTAGGGTCTGGCCATGAGTAATGAAAATGGCCCAACTCGAGGGGCGGCACCAAGCATGCATTTGTAAACTGCACGCAATTGGATAACACTACGGCCAATCAGAACAATACACAGGGTGACATATACGCTTAGCTACCAGCGGAGCTAACAGGTAGATTAGACTCTTGCCGTATCCGGTCAGCAAAACAGCAAAAACGTCCTTCTTGCAAAGGAAAGATTAGAGCGCCGTCTTCTGTTCCTCTTTTAGAGAAAAAGCCAAGTCTAACTCGTTCATTGTAGCGGCCAAAGCCGTTTAAAACAACTGGTGTTCATCCGTAGCCATCTTGCAATGTTTACTGACTGATTCCGGACTTGGTCGTCGCAGCGCTATCATCATCTGTTTAGCTCGCCTCTGGCCCGCCTATATCAGATACACCGATGTGATTGGTGCAGCTCGGTTTCATGGGAATAGGTAATGAGCATCATTACTGATTGCCAGAGTGACTCGCTGAGCAAATTCAAATTGTGCTCTCGCGAGAACTCTGGATTTCCAGGGTTATAGACAATACTAATTTATGATAACAATTGTTTTTGAACAAAAATAACGATAAGAGTACACATGTATAACCTGATGTTAATTCCACTACAGAAGAGACTTGATGATCACTAAAATTAGGTGGGGAAAAGTGGATATATCAATAACAGTATCGGTAATTGATCAAATGAGTTGTCATATATCGGCATATCAGATATGGGCAAAAAATCCATTATTGTGCATCCCTAATCAACACTATGAAAACATCTGGACAGATGAACAAAGATTTCAGCACGGTTTTGTTTTTCATCCACACAGTTCATGTCCTCCACAGCAGCAGCTGTTGTCCTTTGAACACGTCTTCAGTCTGCCTGCTGTGATGAACATTAATTTAATTATTCTAGCACGCTCCTTCCACCACCGTAAAACCTCCACCACCTCTTTTAGGTGGCAAAAATATGTTTTGCTGCGACCCTGTCCACAGCAGCACATTGTTTATCTTCCGTGTCAGTAGATTTGGTTCATGGAAAATGATAGCAAAACAACAGAGTACATAAAATAAGTACAGCACAAACGTCTGTTTAACTAAATATATTTAAATGTTACAATTACTGCTGAAAATGACAACAGAAATTAACAATTTTGCTGATTTTATATCTCTGCAATCACAATCAACTGCCAGTTTTCTTCCCAGAGGTGACTGTTGTTAGCATGATGTCACAGTGATTTGGTTTAGGTACAATATTTACAAATGGGGTTCACACTAAGCTAAGCTAGTGTGACACTAACACACACATTGAGAATCTCTAG